ATAATATATACATAATTTTATTAATAAATTTATTACAAAAAACATAAACTAAAAATTTATAAATCACGTTCAAAAGAAGAACAATTTAAAAATTAATAGATTTAAATAAAAATATATTTTTAGTATAGGTATTAGTAGGTACGTAGATTAATCTTTATTGTACGAGTATGTAATTATATGTTGCAACTATAATTTAACGTAAATTAATTTTTAAACGAAACGATAAAGTATTAATCATAAAAATTCACAGCAGTAGAATATATAGCGTTATTTATATACATATACTGCGAGTTATCTATAGATATCTTAACTTATCGAGAGGGTCAATTTCTTCTATAACTATATATCATATTTGTGAGAAATAATATTTAGAATAGTATTTGGAATGTTCCGATTAAAAAACAATTCAAGTAATAAACATCGAATATTTAAAATATTAAAATTTTGTAAACCTAAATAAGTAAGTATGTATATATTTAAACAATTTAAATCTGATTTAATTAAAATAAAAAAAATTGTGTGATTTTAAGAGAAAATAAACAAAAATTAGTTTTATATTTAGTTTACAATCGCTATATTGTTCTTATCTAAATTTCCTTTGACATTTAATAAATTGTTTAAAGGATCAGGTCTTATTTGTGCAATTTGCAAAATGATTAAGTGATTATCATTATGCCTATATTTCATTTATAAACGAGTTATCCAAATTTAAAACTTGATTTTTATATGACATTATTAATTGGTTTGTACGTAATATATTTTTTATTTATTATTGAAAGCAATACATAAAACCCGCACGTATTAAATTAATTGAAAAAATGAATAGTATTTATGTTTTAAATTATTCTATGCGGTTAACTATTGTTTAAATAATTTAAAAAATTAATTCTTATTTGTGAATTCTAATTTTTGTTTTTTTAATTGAATCAAGCTTTCAGATTATTGAATTAATATAGTTCAAAATTGTAGATAGTTGAAATCTTTTTTTCTTTTATAGTTTGAAATATCAACTTTAATAAAACATATTTTTCTTTAGTTTTTTACTAATATTAATTAAACTTGTGTTTTAGAGTTTTAAATTTTTATATTAAAGGTGTATTTCTCTCATTTTGTTGGCTATAAAATTAATTATAATACATGTCTCATAACACATCGAAGAGACAATACATTATTTTTGCTCTTATCGCAATGTCTCTAATTCTAACCGACTTTCTGCGACAGAAACATATTTCATTTTTTACTAAACTAACTTCGTTTTTATTATACATTAACAACAAAATTCAATTGCATGCGTTCATTCTTCAATTTTACATTATACAATACTAAAGGATATATTTCAAAATATTTAATGATTGACGACATTATCTATTATCATACGACGACTGTTTCCAAGTATAATATAACTGCAAACAGGATTTCAATCGGTTAATGTTATCATTGTTTGTTAGAAAGAACGAAGTATAAATTTTATATTATATTCTGTTTTTACCGTTTATATTGTAATATTCTATATGTTGTTAATATTGATAATGATCCGATCGCGATCGAAACATCTGTTTGTTTATTGATAGCACATTGTATTAAATCTTAACTAAAGGATATAATTGTTTTCCTTTACTTATGTTCCTATATTTATAATACTTATATTCTACATTAACTATATAATTGAATAATTTTTTGACTCATAGCCCTATTTCTTTTTTGCTTTTTAATTATAATATTTATATACAACTTTTTTATATTTTTATATATTATATTTTGTAAATACTTTTTAAAGATATTAAAGTACATATATGTAAATCATTTAATTTTTGTATACATATAAAGTGACAAAATTAATTCAGTACATGAAAGACTCATCGTGTAATAAAGGATTAGAAAATCGAGTGTTATGGGTAAAAAATTTAATTAAATTGTTTATTGACTTATGTAACATTATTTAAAAAAAAACATGCTAGAGTAAGTTTGTTTAGGAAGTTTCGTGTTATGAACTACATACGTACTCTGTTACTGCAGTGGAAATGGCACAATCCTTTTTTTTCAAAATCAGCGATATTGTACATCGCTAAAAACAAATTAACTCGAATCGAATTAACTGTTGTATTTGGCGATTGCAAAGCATCAATTGACATCAGTTTCAACAGTGCCATATTATGTACACGTTATGCTCCTAAATTTATTACAGCTCATGATAAGTTACTGGGGGTCAGCAGATAAAGCGAAACTCCAACGAATCGCGGATCGTACTCGGGTCGGGATTGATGATCTTACTTTGCTTTCGGCTTTCTTTTTCTTCCTTTTTATGACTCTCATTCAGTCAACCTCCTAGATTGATTTAACCAGTAATAACCAATAATCGAATTTAATAAATACAAAATCATATATATACATACATATATTGTATATATATATATATATACAATATATATATACAATATATATATATATATATACATATATATATATATACAGGGTGTCCCGAAAGTTTTTGCCAATCGCTTTTGTGTAGATATAGCGGACTAAACTGAGTCGAAAAGTCCTCTACTATTTTACAATTTTCGCAATAGTTAACAAGATATTAATTACTAAAAATTACTAAATATTGGTTTTGAATAATTTTTTACTCAAATATTATCAACTTTATAAAAAAGTTGCAAGAAACAAAAATCATTTATTTTTTTCTTATAAAGTTCTGAGAATTTTTTCTCAAAATTTTTAAGTACCGTATTTTATCAAGTTGTTAAAAATAAAAAAAATGCAGTACTAAAAAATTAATAAAACATTTCGAAAAAATTCTTAGAGATCTATGAGAAGAAAATTAATGATTTTTGTCTCTTGCAATTTTTCTGTAAGATTGATAGTATTTGAGTAAAAAATTATTCAAGACCAATATTTGGTAATTTTTAGTAATTAATGTCTTATTAACTATTGCGAAAATTACAAAATAGTAGAGAATTTTTCGACTCAATCTAATCCGCTCTATTTAAACACAAAAGCAATTAACAAAAACTTTCGGGACACTCTATATCAACAGAAAATATTTAAATATCGATTATGTCACAAAAGTCGATTAGTTTCATCAAAAACCTTAAAAAAATTTCCCGTACTCAGTTATTCTGATGCAACTATCGCTTTCGGTATTTCATAATGACAACACGACATTTATATTACGCTTATCTGCTGATTGCGATAGAACATACGACAAATCATCCGGAATTGATTTTTAAACAACATTCTAAACAACAAGTTTTGAAAATCTTGACGTATTTACGATATCTATGCATACGTATATAAGTAGTGTATATTTTTTAAGTTTATTAATAGTTTAATTTTATACAGTAAAAAAATTTTGTGTTGGAAACGGTCTACTCACGTTCTTATTAAAATTTTGTGTAGAATTTTTAATATATTTGAGTGTTAATTTAACATAATGTGAATTTTAATTTAACATAATGTGTTATTTAAAGATTTTTTGTGAAATTGATATTCAATGTTTCTTAGTGTCGAAATGACATAATTTATGAGAAGTGAACAAGTAACACAAAAATAATGTGTTTTGAAACGTAAATTCTAAGGCAAATAAATACTATACGTGTTAATTTAACATATCATATCTAAATGTTAATTTTAAAAATATGTGCTCTCACAGTTTTTTTACAAACTGTCGATGTTATCTTTCTTTTCGTATTTATTCTCTTACATAATATTTGTATTACCTTCTAACATATTCATCTTGTGTAAAATTAACTTAAAAATTTTAATGGACTGTTTGGGACATGCGATTTATATTAAATTCAACACATTTTTTTCAACTGTGTATATCATGATGCAAAAGACAAAGAATATTTCACCATATTGTTACCAATATAGTCACTAAACAACTACGTATATAATTGTATGTATCAGCTATCGACCCATGAACAATTTAGTCGATATGGTCGAGAATTAATCGATAGTGGTTTTATTATATAAACAGATTGTTGTATATTCCATGCTATGCGTTCTGAATTACGCATGGAGCGCATGATGCATCATTTGTTCTTGTTGTTCACCAAATGATAAAGAAGGATAAAACAATACATCATGCGCTTCATGCGTAATTCGGAACGCAGCCTATATGAAAGTAAAATATTCTTTTATGCAATATATTTTTATTCTAACAACGTTACTTATCAAAGATTTAGATTCGTTTTGACTAACTTCTAATGTATATGTATTATTATTATTATTATTAGCCGTTAGGAACTCGAAAGCTCATTGCCGCAAATACCAAATCCCGCCACTGTTCCCGTCCTGAGCAAGATCCCTCCATTTGTGACCCTCGTACCCCATTTCGTTAAGGTCCATTCTAATATTATCTTCCCATCTACGTCTTGGTCTACCCAATGGTCTTTTCCCATCCGGTTTACCAATTAGTACTTTATATGCAATTCGATTCTCATCCATACGCGCCGCGTGACCTGCCCATCTTAATCGACGCGATTTTATGACATTAATAATATCCGGACTATTATATAATTGATGTAATTCTGCGTTGTGTAATTTTCTCCATTCGCCCGTTTCCTCATCGCGTTTTGCCCCGATGATTTTTCGAAGTACTTTATTTTCGAAAGCCCTAAATCTTTTCTCGTCTTGTAATGTAAGTGACCACGCTTCGCTGCCATAAAGGACTACCGGTAAAATAATCGTTCTGTAAATTCTAATTTTTAAGCGCCTAGACAATATCCGCGAACCGAGTAGTTTCTTAACCGAATAGAAGCACGCATTCCCCAAATTAATTCTTCTCTTGAGCTCTTCTCTTATTTCATTAGTTTGGTTTAAAATCGATCCTAAATACTTAAAATTGCTAACCCGTTCAAAAATTTTATCACAGACGACCAGGTTTCCGTTATTATGAATATTCTGAATTCTATCAGTGACCATATATTTAGTTTTTTCAACGTTTATTTGCAGCCCCAGTTCTTTCGTTTTATCTAATAGAATTTTAGCGTTATTTATTAGTGTTTCTTTATTATCTCCCAACAAAGCAATATCGTCCGCATATGTTAATATTTGTGTTGTACCGTTCAACTGCAAACCATCATTACTCTTCTGCATTTCTTTAATAGCATATTCCAATACTAGATTAAACAGAAGAGGTGACAATGCATCCCCCTGCTTTAATCCGCTATGAATATTAAAAGTTTCCGACATTTGATTACCTATTCTTACTCTACCTCTGGTATCTTTTAAACAAACTTGGACTAAGTTAGCCAATTTTTTGGGTATCCCCCACCGAGTTAAAATTTCATACATTTTCTCCCGTTTTATCGAATCATACGCTTTTTTAAAATCAATGTAAAGTTGATGTACCGATTGGTCGAATTCCCATTTTTTCTCCAAGATTTGCCGAATAGTAAAGATTTGGTCCGCAGTCGATCTATTTCTCCTAAAGCCGCATTGATGATCTCCAATTATCTCATCTGCATATGGTACAAGCCTCATTAATAAAATATTCGACAGAATTTTATAGCATGTAGGTAAAAGTGAGATACCCCGGTAATTATTACAACTCATTTTGTCCCCCTTTTTGAAAATCGGGATTATAATTGAATCTTTCCATTGTTCCGGCAATGCTTCTTTATTCCATATTAAGATAATTAATTTCTGAATTTCTTCTATCAATCTACTTCCCCCCCATTTAATCAGTTCCGCCGGAATCAAGTCATTACCCGGTGCTTTGTGATTTTTTAATTTTTTAATCGCGCTTTCTACTTCTGAAATTGTCGGTTCGTTAATCCTAGGTTCAGCCGTGTGATACTCAAAATTCTCTATTTCCCGGTCGTTTTCAGATTCGACATTCAATAACCGATCAAAATAATTTTTCCATGTGTTTAAAACTGCCGTTGTATCCGTAACTAAATTATCGTTCTCATCTTTCACCATTTCCGTCCTAGCTTGGAATCCCTTTCTAAAATTATTTATCCCCATGTACGTGCCTCGTACGTTACTGCTTTTACAATTTTCATCTATTTCTTCAATTTTACGTTTTAAGTATTGACGCTTCTTAATTTTAAACATATTATGAGCCTCTTGCCTAATCTTAAGAAACTGATCCCGAGTTTCCTTCGTATTTTGAGCCAACCACGTGATGCGCGCTTCGTTTCGTACTTTAACAATTTTTACGCATTCTTCGTCAAACCACGGCTTGTTTTTGTTCCTTTTACAAAAACCAACCGTGGCCTCCGCCGATTTTACTATCGCGTCTCGTACGTTTTCCCAGTGTTTATCAACCGTGTTATCATCCGATTCATCTATTTCCTTTGAAGCCGCGAGTCTATTCGTTACTTCGACCGCGTATTTTATTCCGTTTTCTCCCTCGATCAAACCTTGTACATTTAGACGTTTAGTTCCAAACAACTGCCCGTTAGTTTTGTTTAGCGAAAGACGTTCCCTGATTTTGGCAATTACAAAGAGGTGATCCGAGTCGCAATCCGCCCCCCTATAAGACCTGACATCGAGTACGTTCGTGTGACGCCGTTTATCTGCAAGAACGTGATCAATTTGGTTACGCGTGCCTCCATCCGGGGAAATCCAAGTTTGTTTATGGATATTTTTGTGTTTAAAATACGTGCTTTTGACGATAAGATTTTTGCCGGTCGCAAAGTTAATTACCCTCACTCCGTTATCGTTACTTTCCTCGTGCAAACTTTCGAGCCCGATCGTTGGTCTAAAAATGTCCTCTTTACCGATTTTCGCGTTAAAATCTCCCACGACTATTTTCATGTAATCGTTCGGTAATTGATCCACGAGGTGTTCGAGTTCTTCGTAGAACCCGTCTTTAATTTCGCCATCTTTATCTTCCGTCGGCGCGTGTACGTTGATTATCGCGATCTTGTACCATCGGCCCTGCACAACGAGCAATCCTAATCTTTCGTTTATAAATTTAATGTCTTTTACCGCGGATAAGATTTTCCTATTAATCATAAAACCGATGCCAAGACTATGGATCTCCGACCCTCCATAGTGAAGCGTGTACGAACCCGCATTAAGCGAACCCTCCCCGGCCCATCTTGTTTCTTGCAACGCGACAACTTCTACCCCGTACCTTTCGACCTCCCCGACCATCGATTGAAACGCCCCAGGTCTGTAAAGACTTCGGACGTTCCACGTACCCACTTTGATGTCTCTCCCGTGTTTTGACTTTATACGACATGAGTTCCCCGAGGTAGTCCCCACCCGGAGATCCGAACGGGGGACTAGTTTACCTCCGGAAAATTTTACCCCAGAAGAATCCATGGCGAGTTTTGGTTGTTTCTAGATAAAGTCGTTTCACGGTGTGAGCCTATCAAACCCACGCCCAACCCCCAAACAGGAGGACCATTCCAATCGGCTGTCCGCGACTGCTTATTCAATTTATTCGCAGCTAACCTCTATCCTCAACCGAGATAGCGAGGCTTTTCCTCTATCCGCAACCCGAGGACGCGCTGTGTCGTGGTGATTGGGACCCACCCACCCCGGGGATCACTACTGCAACTAGTTTTCCTTCCCCGAGACTAGCGGTTGTTATGCTAACACAGAATATGTATATTACAACATAAACAAATTTACAGATTATTAAAAATTTACATTTTTCTGTGTTGAATAACTCTGGCAAAAATAAAAATCAGAACATAAGTCGAATGTTAGGGAAGAGTAACAGAAACGTAGGCAAAGCTTTTAATAAAGGAAGTTACATTTTCATTAATATATTATATATATAATAATACCTATAATATACAGGGTTGGCCATATTCGACGGAAAGATGTGGCAACACTGTAACTTTTGACAGAGATGTTAGATCGAGTAACGACGTAGCGCGTTTGAAGCGTCAGTCGAAGGAAATTTGTGCCATGGAACAGTACACGCCACGCGAACGCTCTCAGATTGTTGAAATTTACATTCAACAAAACAAGTCAATTGTTAAAACTCAACGTGCATGGAGAAAAATAAATAAAGTGAAAAGTGCGCCTTCCGCGAACACATTGTATCGTTTGTATGAAAGATTTTCAACTGGTGAGGCACTCACTAATCCCAAGCGTCCAAATAAAGTGCGACCAAGGCGATCGGATGATAATATCGCACTCGTACAGGCCAGTGTTCAGAGGT